GGTCCATCCAAAAGCGAGACAGGAAGCTTTATTGGGTAGTGAGCTGCCCATTGCTAAGGGTATCCAAGTAGCAGATGCTATAGATCAGCTTATCAGCTGCCTAGAAGGCAATTGTGGATAGAAACACAACCAGATGATTTCCAGTGACTTGCCCCTCTGAGATTCCAGGATCTCTGCCTTCTGCATGTGCAGGAGCCACCTTACCCACTCATTGTTCCACCCATCTACCCATTCATTAATTTATTCAAAAGGGGTGATTCCAGCACATATGGAGTACAGAGCCAGTCTTGGGTTCTGGAGTTACAGATGCTATTCTTTCCCTGGAGTAATCCATCACCAAGTTGGGAGACAATACATTCAAATTATTAGATGTAGAAGAGTCCCTCTAATAACAGAAAAAGTGACTAAGTTGTTGAGGATGCAGTGGGGTGGTGGGAGGGTGAACGGGGAAGGTTTCAAAAAGGAGAAGATGCTTGAACTGGGTTTTGAAGGATATGTAGAAGTTTACCAGGTAGACTCGGGTGGAAGAGAATTTCAGGCAGAGGGAACAGCATGTGAAAAGTCAGTCTCAGAAGTTTGAAACACCTGAAATTGTCTACAGTGTTGCATTTCGTTCCTTATCATTGGAATATTAATATAAGGGCAAGCACTGAGGCTGCAGAGGCGATGCAGGGTGAAGTCATTAAGGACCTTGTATTAAAGACTTTGGAACTTATCCTGAAGACCATGGCACGGGGAGTAACTGGGTCCTATTCACATTTTAGAAAGATCTCTCTGATTACAGTGGAGAGTGGATTGGAGGGGACAGAGCCAAAGCAAGAGAAACCAGTGAGGAGACCCATGGGAAAGTATTTCTCCAGGTAAATTCACTTTTTGCAAGAATCATGGCTGCACATTAGACTCACCCATGAGCTTTAAACATAACCAATGCTCGCGTCTCATCCCCAGAGTCTGATTTCATTGGTCTGGGCTAGGGCCATGGCTTTGGGGGTTTTAAAGCTCCCCCAGATTATGTTACTGTGTAGCCATAACAAAACCTTACGTAAACTGTAACCCGAACCCTGGTACATAGTAAGTACACAACAGATATTTTCCCCAGAAAATTAGTGTGTAAACATTCGGAGTGTCCGCTTCTTGTCTTCATGCCACTTTGGTGGGTATCCTTGGGTGTACAGTTGGCTTTTATCACAGAGGGTTTCAGATAGGAAATCACCACCAGAATATAAGCTTAAACATTGAGAAGTTCAGTGCTGCCACTGAGACCAGCCTGCCACACCCTTGCAGAGAGCCAGGAATACTAAGTTGACCTGGCAAGTTGCCCGAAACAGATGTTGCCACCAGGCTACGGTGGGAGGATGAGACCAAGGCCTGGAATCTGAGTTCTAAGAGTTCCATGCAAAAGCAAGAGCCATTTGCAGTCTAGAGATGGCCTGTGCTGATGGCAAGAGGGATGCAGGGTGGTGGTCACCTCTAGTGAGGAGCAAAAAGAGGATGAGGGAGAGGAAGAGGGCAGGGGAGGCAAGCCCTCCATCAGTAAAATAAGCATGTTACAATCTCCATGGCACTTTTCTCATACTCGGATTTAAGGCAGAGATTGGTGCCCAGAGCCACACTGCTAGTTTTCTTCTCCCCCAGGATGTCTGTCTAAAGGTTTCAGACACACAGCAAAGTTGTGATCCCCTAATAGCTGGGAAGGCACACTATTACCCCAACCTAAAACCCTGGGAAAGCTAAATTGGAGAACATAACTTAGCTCAGGAAGCCCAGGCAGGGACCTCCCACCTCATCCTCATTCCATCTGGAATGGGCATCAATTCTACCTACCCAACTGCTGCATAGTTGAGGATCATGGTCATCCTTCTAGAACAGTGGTTCTCAACCTTCCTAATGCCACGACCCTTTAATACAGTTCCTCATGTTGTGGTGACCCCCAATTTCATTGTTACAAATTGAACATAATTAAAGCATAGTGATTAATCACAAAAACAATATGTAATTATATATGTGTTTTTTCGATGGTCTTAGGCGACCCCTGTGAAAGGGTCGTTCGACCCCCAAAGGGGTCGTGACCCACAGGTTGAGAACCGCTGTCCTAGAACAAAAGTCAGCAAATGACAGCCATAGGCTAAATCCAACACCTGTTTTTGTGAATATAGTTTTATTGGAATGAAGCCATGCCCATTTGTTTGCACTTCGTCTGCAAGTGCTTTCACTCTACGGCAGTGGAGTTGAGTAGGAGTAATTACAACAGAACCCAAGCTGTGTACTATCTGGCCCATTATAGAAAAAATTTTCCAACCTCTGCTCTAAAAATGACCCAGCCAAGCTGGCTTAACGCATGGGAGATTAGAAGCAAGAAAGGGGGCATCATGCATGGGCTGGGCTTTTTATAGTCAGTGGTCCTTCCTATCTGTCAAACATGGCCCGCTGAATGGCTGAATTTCTGACCAAGCAGGATACAGATTCCTCCTTGCTCGGGATGGACCTAGCAATGAATAGATAGGCAAAGGCAAGACTGGTGTATTGAGATGCGTGGGTGCTCCTTTGCCCTGCATTACTAACAAGGACCTGTGTAGACTGAAGATACTGCAAATTCCATCCCAGAAGCGCCTGTCAAACATGGCCCGCTGAATGGCTGAATTTCTGACCAAGCAGGATACAGATTCCTCCTTGCTCGGGATGGACCTAGCAATGAATAGATAGGCAAAGGCAAGACTGGTGTATTGAGATGCGTGGGTGCTCCTTTGCCCTGCATTACTAACAAGGACCTGTGTAGACTGAAGATACTGCAAATTCCATCCCAGAAGCAGTGCAAGAGCCACAAGCAGTGGGTGGGAACACTAGTCCAAGTGTTGCCCAACCTTCATGCTTCTGTAGCTTCACTAAAGCTGTCCCTGCTCCCTTAAATGCCCAGCTTCCTTCTCTTTGAGATAATTAACTATACTAGTGATGGCGAACCTTTTGAGCTTGGCGTGTCAGCATTTTGAAAAACCCTAACTTAACTCTGGTGCCATGTCACATATAGAAATTTTTTGATATTTGCAACCATAGTAAAACAAAGACTTATATTTTGATATTTGTTTTATATATTTAAATGCCATTTAACAAAGAAAAATCAACCAAAAAAATGAGTTCGCGTGTCACCTCTGACACGCGTGTCATAGGTTCGCCATCATTGAACTATACCCTCCCTGTGTTTCCATAACACTTGGCTCATAACTCTGTTAAGTCATTCCATATGGTCGTTTACTTGTCTTTCTCCTCTTAAACTGATGACTCCCATCTCTTTCCTCCCCCAAACTCTGACCTCTTTGTCCAACTTCCTGCTAAACATCTTCGCTTGGATGTCGGATAGTCATCTCAAACGTGGCCACCGCTGCTACTATTGTTCTTATTGTTTTGAACATGTTAAGAAGCACATAGTATTCAGCAAGGGCTAGGCACTGTTCTAAGCCCTTTATGTACCCAAAACACACTTATTTCTTGCCTCCCAATCCTGTTTCTCCCTAGCTGTTTCTTCTCTATCTCAGTGACTGTCATGGCTCTCCACTCAGTTCTCCGAGCCAACAGTCTGGGCCTCAGCCTTCATCCCTCTCTCCTTCACAGTCCACGTCATCAGTGGATATGTTGGTGACCTGCCCATATCCCCTCCACACAGTGTCCCCAGTGCCTGCCTCCTGGAAACACCTGTGACTTTTTGCCTGAGGACTTCCTCAGCACAAAAGAATGTGCACACCCTACCTACGGAGCACGGCAGAGCGTTAAGGGAGTTTCTAAGAGTCGTCCTCAACAATGATAGATGGAAATTGGTGGATAAACACCCCAACTCCCTTCTCCCTCTGGTAGGAGAATGAAATGGGCCCATGGCATTAAGCCCCAGGCACACAGTGGTAACCTGTTCATTGATGTACCCTATGTTGACTTTCTTCCCTTGATTGGCTCACTTCCTGGACTCTTACAACCATGCTTCTTAGGATTGCCTCCCAAATAGAGTCTCATATCCAGATCCTTGTTTCTTGCAAAAGCAGTGAGTCTGCTCCTGAACCAAAACCTACAAACTTCAACTGAAAATATTCAGTTCTCACTGCATTCACTGCCGCCATCCTGGATCAAGGTCCCAAGGTACCATCATCTCTTACCTGGACTATTGCAACAACTTCTTAATTGATCTCCCTGAGCGTGTATTTCATATGTGAGCCAGAATGTACTTTGTAAAAACATAAATCATATCCAGTAACTCCCCTGCTCAAAACCCTCTGATGGTTTCCCATTACACTTAGAGTAACACCCAGCTGGTTACCAGTGACCGCAGTGCCCCCTCTAATCCTAACTCTTCCAGCCTCTCCGGTGCTCCTGTCACTGCTCTCCCTAACTCATCCTTGATTGTGGTCCTTGGTTATCACCTTTGCATCTACTGTTCCCTCTGCCTAGAAAGTGCTTCCTACGTTTCTTTGTATGAGTGGCTTTTCACATCATAGCTTAGATATTACCTTCTCAGAGAAGCCCTCCCAAACTGTGTAATCTGAAACAGTCCTCATCCTCTATCACTATCCCTTCTCGAAGCTTCATTTTCTTCATAACATTTTCCACCATCTAAACTTACATGTTTTCTGGTTCATTTGCTACACCTCCCAGTGGACTGGAAGCTCAAGGGGCACTTAGTTTATTTCTCTGTGTCCCAAGTACATAGAACAGTGCCAAACACATATTAGGGACACAATAAATATCTGTCGAATGAATGAATGAATGAATGAGTCCCCTACTGGACCAGATTTGGGCTCATAGCACACAGAAGACCTCAATAGCATTTGAGCCAATGAAGGAGGAAATAAGGCCAAGGAGAGGCCCAGTCTATGTTCTTCCCAGGCCCCATCCACCACCACACAGCCCTTTATGCTGAGTGACCCACTACAGCGGGTGCTGTTTCCCCACTGGTTCATCTTCACCTGCATAGTGCTTCTATCTCTGGCCATCCTAACCACTCTGTCCTTCCTTTGTAGGCCTTACCAGAGGGGCAGACTGCTTCATGGGACACAGCCAAGGAGGATGAAAATCGCAATAAGAACCGATATGGAAACATCATTTCCTGTAAGTGCCCTTCTGGGAGGTCCCAGGCTTTGGGGACACAGAGGAAACCAAACCATTACTATTATTTACCTAGAGTTTGTTGTCAAGTTATCCTTGGTGTTTCCAGCTTTGGGTCAACATGCCAAGCTGGGAGCTGTATTACAGCCTGGGTGACAGAGCATGGCTGACCTCAGGCCCAGGAGGCAGGTGGGAAGCTGGGTCCAAGCAGAGTAGATCCAGGAAGCCTCTGGAAGCTGCGTCTGGCCTGGCATTGCCCATTGCTCAAGAATTTCTCAGGTTGGGAAGGAAGCCCAGGCAAAGGAATCCTTCCTGTTCCCAGCAGTTCTTCTAGTGCAGAGTACCACCTTATAAGTCACTTGGGGTACTAGCAAGATCCAGCCTGTGAGGGAGGGGCTGAGGACACCCAGGTGAGAGAATAGTGCTCCTCTCAGAAGGCAGAGTCCCAAGCAAGGATTGATGCCCGGAAGGAGCCAGAAGCTCTGAGCTTAGGGCATCATGACTTCTGCCAGACCCCACCGCCAGTGGGGCAGAGGCTCTAAGGTGAGTGCCTGCTGCTCAGGGCTGCATTGGCACAGGCATTTGTTGGCACTGAGCCTGCAGGGGGCAGGCATGTTTTGCGTGGAGCTCAGGGAGGCATGGAAGGACATTGCTTTGCTTGGCAATGAGCTCCAGGCAGCCCTGACGGGATGTGGTGCAGAGTGGTTGGAGCCTCTGCAGAAAAAAACTGCCTGGCTTCTGTCCCGGCTCTGGGACCCGGAGCAGGTTTCCTGGCCTCTCCGAGCTTCACTTCCTCACCTTTAAAATGATGATAATAACAGAGATAGGGTCGTTGAAAGAAGGTACATGGAACCCTTGGCCTTAGTGCCTATCATCATCCTCCTCATAGCATGGAGTTAACTTTCTCAGAGTCATGGATAAGCAGTGTGGATGGATAAGCAGTGTGGTGGATGTATCATCCCACCACATTTTAACCAGAATTCACTGACTACCCATGTGGCTCATGGAATAAGCCAGTTGGGGAGGGAGGCATGATCAGATGTCCATTTTGGAAAGATCTATCGGGTAGATGATTGGGAGGGTAGATTAGATTGGGAGAGGCAGGAAACAGAGGAACCAGTCAAGAGGCGACTTCACTGGTCCCAGCAAGGGATGGTGAGGCCTGAACAAAGTCAGTAACAATACTTGTGTGTGACGGTACATGGTGGAGTTCCTAGAGAAGAGGGAGAGAGACAGGCTTCCATATAACTAAATATCAAGTCACACACAAGTATGGTCACTGTCAAACATTGGTGTGTGCAGCCTTCCATGCAACAACTACAGAGAGGACAAAGTTACCTCGTGCAAAATGCTGAGTACATATTCTCATTAGAACAGAAGTCTGCAGCAGCCTTTGCCTGCCACGGTGTAGCTCACCTGGACCTTTGACATCTCACCAAAGTGCATAGCATTCCTTGGTCCCAGCTCTTAGAGTAACCCAGCTCATCCAAAAAGAAAAAGAAAAAAAGATCATGAAGAACAGATTATTTCTAGCACAGCTCAGTGTTTTGTTAACTGTCTAGACATTGCCTAAGAAAAAGCTTGGAGGGAGAAAAGCGTAAGATACAGGCAGCTTGTCGAGGAAGAAGGAGGCAGAAGTTTCAGCTTAGCTGTTTCCTGTGCTGATTTAGGAATGGGCTATGAATGGCAGAACTAATCAAAAACATTTGTAATTTGTCTATTGGATGATAGTAATGTAGACAGCAAGATTTCTTGCAAGCGAAGCATTGGAAAGAGATATTCAAACAATCAGGAAATGTGTGTTGCGACCTATGATGTGTGGGCATCCTATGAGCCAGGCCCTGTGGGACCCTGGGCCTCTGCTCCCAGGGGGCTCCCATTTGGGGCATACATGGCTGCTCACTCCAACCATCCTCTGCTCGTGGACCAAGCCCTAAAATTCCTGATCACATGTCTGTTGCCCCTATTAGATTGTGAGTCCAGATATGGCCACTAAATTATAGGCTGTGAGACATTATGTGATCACTCGAAGCTTTAATCTTCTGTCTGCAAAATGGGTACAAGGATGTTTTCCTCCCAGAGGTGTTGTGCAGATAAGAAAAAATAGATGACTAGTGCACAGACAAGAGACCCTGCCTTCCTGAGAGACAGGAATACCCAGACTGGGTCAGGTATCAGGGCCAAAGCCTGTGGGGGCCAAGGATGAGGGGCCACGCAAAGCTATGTATCTCTCCAGACCCCACTGCTCACCCTCTGCTCTCAGCACCTTTGCCCATGCCATCACCGGCTCTCCCCTGGTCTCTGCCCAGCCTCCTTTTTGGTTGCTCCATATCCATTGTTGTCCCCCACTGTCTACCTATCTGATCCTGACAGAAGCCAGAGGGACCTGAATTGGATCATGTCATCTTCCTACTGAAAACTTTGCCCTTTGCTCATGAACACGCCTTGTCCAGAGTCTCTTAGCCGCCTCTCAGGTCTCGTTTCCCACTGTGTCCTCTTCATAATGGTCTCCTCTACAAGCTACACTGCCCTTCCTTCAGCCCCTGGAGCTTTCCAGGATCATCTATGCCACAGGGCCTTGCACATTTGTTCTATCAACGTGCCTTTTCCTCCTCTCTTTGTTCTACTAATTCTACTTTTCTTTAGATCTTAGCTCAGTCACCGCTTCCTCAGGGAATCCTTCAGACCTTCTGAATATGCACACAACCCCAGTATTCACTCCTAGAGCACTTTTCCTTAACTCTCCTCATCACTGTGGTGTTGGAGGCATTTGCATGACTCTCAGTTGACTGCCTGACTCCCTCACAATTAGTAAATGCTCGGTGACAGCAGGACCATGACTGTGTCCCCAAAACTGCCATATAGTTCGTGCTCAGTAAATAGGAATGAATGTTGGGAAACACAGATTCTCCACAAGACCCCACAGGCCTTGAACCGTGGGTCTCTCCCTCTGGCTTCCCAAATAAAATAGAGAACACCCAAAAGGATGGATGGAGGAAGGCGGGATCAAGATGATACTCGGAGTGACGTCCAAGTAATGTCTCTTAGTGATGAAGAGGGCAGTGAACCTAAATGAGCAGAACAGGGGCTGGATCCCAGACAGCAGGGAGAACAATGAAAGGGTTAGACTTCTGCCACTGGGGTGCAGAAGGTGCTGTCTGAGTCCCACCCACACCCCACGGCCTCACCACCTCCCTGTCCTGCGATGCCAGATGGTAGTACCAGCATCCAGGGCCAGGATGAGGGTAAGGTGGGTGAGACACCCAGTCTGCAACATTCAAGGAGGTTCCTCCCTCTCAGCCGTTGACCCTGCACCTGCACAACCCTGAGAGCAAGCGCCTCCCTTGCTTCACCCTCATCCTGCCCTGTCTGTGTCTCTTTGCCTGAGGACTTACTCCAAAGCTGGGCAGGATGCTCTGTCCACGCACTAGGCAGGTTCCCCCCTGGACCAGGAAATGGCCCAGCTCCTCACCTGGGTGTGTATTTCACACCTTTTCCTAAATCCCCCCGGGGAGGTGGCAGCAGTTGCCCACGGAAGGAATGGCCTTGAAAACGCACTCTCTGGGTGGCCTTCTCTTAGCTGTCTCCCTGCCCCCTTTCCCGGGGTGACCCCTCTCCTCCTATGTCAACTCCTCGCACTGCAATCCTCATCTTACATCTACTTCTGGGGAAACCCAAACAGAGGCAGAGGGAATTCATACACCTCATGACACCACCTGGCTGGGCTTAAATAAACCCGAGTCTCCTTTCTAGTTTAAGGCTCCATGATTCTGCAACCAATCAGGGCTGAAGCAGGGACAGTGCCAAGGTAACCAGTGGGTTCTAAAGCCGTGCAAGACCTACAGGGAACCTAGGAAGAAAAGAGAAGTCCTGGAGTTGCCATGAGAACGGTAAAGAGAAACAGCCTGAGGAACAGGAAGTCTTCCTGCCCTTGGAGGTGTCCCTCCCAAAGGCCAAGTCTGCCCAGGCTTGATAATTAGAACTGTTCCTGGCACAAGAGGAAAACCAGGTGTGATTAGCATCTTAAGGAACCCAGAGGGGCTGGAGTGGAGGACAAAGCCCAGGCCAGGAGAACGGAAAGATTAGCGGGAAAGAGAAGGGGGCAGGGCACCGCCTGCAAATGAAACAATGAAAGAGAAACCTTGGCCAAATAAGCCCTTTCTTCCACTGGATTCTGTTTAGAAGTTAGTAATAGAGACTGTGGGGTTTCCAGGGCCTGGGAATGAAAAGGAAGTGAAAGGGAGGGAAATGAATGGGGAAAACAGAACAGAGGGCTCTTTGCTTTCAAGTAGCTCTGGGCGGGACTGTGAACAAGAGGAAATTTCAAGAACACCAGAGCATTCCCCATGGGGCAGTTCTAGAACAGGAAATTACACCCGGGAGAGGAAGTGATCTTGGGGGGTTGCAGAGTTTACAAAATGAGGCTTCTCTTCCTAAATCAGGCAGGGTCCCACCAGGAAACAGATGGGACCCTCAAATAAGGGGGTTTGGGGAGACTTAATGACGTGAGTTTTTACAAAGGTGCGAGCTACGTGCAGGGAGACACGGGAACAGTGAAGCACCCTGGGGCTAATACTACACGCACAGGCCAGAGGACTCAGCAAGGAGAGGCCACCAGGGCCCAGAGAAGCATGACTCGATCATGTGCATGGGGACCCACCAAGGGAGCAGAAGGAGGAAGTAGCTTGATGCACACCTTTCTCTTTGTCCCACCTACTGCCTGTGCTTCCCATTGGCTAAACCCCACCAGGAGCCAGAGGACAAGGAATCAGCAGACCGCATCCAGTGCCTCCCACAGTGTGGGCCCCAGAGCAGCAGCACTGGCATCACCTGGGAGCTTGTTGGAAATGCTCGTTCTTGGGCCCCACCCAAACCTCCTGTATCAAATCCTGGGGGGACGCCCAGCCAGCTGTGTTTCTCAAAGCTCTCCAGGTGACACGGATGCCCGTTCATGTTTGAGAACCTCCGACCTTGTCCACAGAGCTCAGCCACCCGGACTTGAG